TAGGGCGAGGACCCGTCCATCGCCGCTTGCGGCTTTAATTATTATTATTGTTCTTAGCTGAAATGTTATGAGCTGTATTATTGGTATAATTGTTATCAGCATTTTTATTATTAGCTGTAATGTTTAAGCGGTATCAATATTAGCTGTATTATTACCTGTACTGCTGTTATTATTATTATTATTATTATTATTATTGTTGTTGTTAGCTCTATAGATACGAGCTGTCTGATCAGTGTCGCTGAGTCTTACGTCATTTCTCCAGGAACAGCAACGACGGCGACAGAACCGACGGTGAGGATCTGAACATCGACGATCTGAGGATGCCACGGCACCGGAGTGTTCATCTGCACACACAGACACACAACAGCTGTGTGCTAACAGACGGTAACACAACGCCGCCTCGTTTCCTCCTGATGCTGCTCTGATGTGAGTCAGCTTCATGATGGAGGAGGGTGGAGCCTTCAGAGCAGCTCTGGAGCTCGTTGGTTAGTTCACTGATGTTCATGAGATGTTGCCTGCAGGCTGCGTGAGGGACTCACCTCTCCAGTGTTGAACAGGATTGGTTTGGGACGGTGACACTCCTTGGTCTCGTTGGACGGCCGCCCCAGCAGAGCTCCGGCTATCCCGTCCCAGAACGGGTCGCCTTCAACGGCACCTTGACCAGAACAACACAGCCTCAGATGTCAGCGTGAGAGAAACGTCCCAGTTATGGCTGAAAGCCTTTAACGAGCTAACATGAACAAAGTCTTAGTTCACATCCACAGTTTGTATCAAACACATTCAGGCAAATCAGAGACTGTTCACAGGAACTGTTCTGAAACTTTGATGGTTGGAGATGAAGCGAGACCAAGCAGACCCACCCTGAGTGAAGTTCAGGTCTCCTCCTCCGTCGGTGGTTCCTGCTGCAAAGCTGTGACCCAGAGCAGGTTTACAGGTGCTCACCTGACGCACACAGACACACAAACACACACATAAACACACTGACACACACACAACACTGATGGAAGCGTGTCGACAGGATGAAGGATCAACATCTCCTGGATCTCTGAGGAACGTTAATAAATCCCTGGAAGACATGAACGCACCGCTAGAGAACGATTTAGATATGATCTGATAAAGAAATATGAATGAACACGTCTGAAAGTGTTTGAAAACGATAATAAAATAATACGAACTAAAAACACACAGAAATGTCAATAACAATAATATAAATACTGAACGTTTCCATAATACATGAAAACATTCGTCAACAGCAGATAAAAAGCATGAAAAACCAGAAACGAGGGTAAAATCATCAGAAAATGTTGGAAAATGCAGAACAAATGTCTGAAAGCGGATTTCAAACTCTGACCGTGTGACTGCTGTTGATGGGAACAGACACGTCCGTCATGTTGACCCACTGATGAGCCGACTGGACCGAACCGGTGACCTCCTCAACCGCAGTCGCATAGAGTTCCTGTAGGGGGCAGCAACACACTGGTCTGTAGGAGAGATACATACAGACAGACAGACGGACGGACTGACAGACAGACAGACAGACAGACAGACGGGTACCTTTGCCTTCATGTAGATGTTCTGTCCGATGATTCTGGTGCTCTCAAACATGTCGTCTCCAGGACCAAACGCTGCACACATCTTAGTCTGACACAAACAAGCACTGCTTACTGTCTGTTCATCACATGTTGTATTAGACATACATGTACATGTAAACTATGGGAGAACACGCTGAACCGTGTCGTAAACTAAGAAGTGTTTTAAAATGTTTGATATGTCAGACTGGAGCTCTGATGAAGGTTCTG